ATGCGTAGAGCAGCTGCCGCGAGGGCCCTGAGGCCAGACGGCGAGGCCCGAGGCGCGGGACCTGGGGGACGGAGCTCAGGGCGCAGGCGCAGTAGGGCGTGGGCCGGGAGTGCGCGCTGAGGTCGCGCGGGAGTCCGCAGCTTTGCTCCGGACAGGGGACGCCTGGGGGGAACGGGAACGGCCCCTGTTTCCAGTGAGGCGGGAGGCATGTATTTAAATAAGACGAGAGAAAAGAAAGCGGGAGCCGCACCGAGTCTGGCACCGTTTGCGAAGGGTGGGGAGCGCCGGGCGCGTCGTTTGTGGCTGTGACCTCTCCGCAGCGAGCACTGGGGTCCTGGGGAGAAAGCGGGGTACTGTTACAGCTGGACTGGCCCGGCCGCCTGAGCCCCCAGCCGCAGCTCCGGAGCGTGCAGTGCAGCTCGGAGGTTCCGAGGAGTGCGTCCCTCCGCCGAGTTGCGCCGGTTCCTGTCTGGGTGGCAGACTGCTCTCTGGGCGCTTGAGTCAGGCTCCGGCTGACTCCACGCGAGCGGTTGCCCTGCGGGAACGACCCCGCACTCTTAAAGAGATTAGATATTAAAGTGTTGCTTATTTTTCCTCATAACGATGAGTAGTTTAAAGTTTACTAGAGGATCTTTAAAGCTCTTATTTTAGGAAATGATCACATTGCCTTTTTGTTGTGTTTTCTTAAGGTGCTGTGTCCTGATGGCTGTGGTTATTATTTTCCTTCCGATTTGTACAATTGTCACCCGATGTCTGTCACCAGCAGCTGAAATTCTGGAAAATCTACTTGGAAAAGGAGCAGCAGATCCTTAAAAGTCAAGCCACAGAGCACGCAACTGAATTGGCAAATGAGAATATTAAGTATTTCTTCGAATGCACCCATCCAAAGGAGTACAGCACTCAGCATTAAAGACTGGCAGCAAATTTCGTCACTGTACACTTTCAATTCTAATGACCAGTACTACAGCATTTTGCACAAGTATGTGAATAGAAAAGAGAAGAATAACAGCATCAGATCTGTTGAAGGAGATGCTGTGATTCCTGTCCTTGACTTTGTAGATTCCTCTGGAATCAGTAGTGCTCCAGAGTTATGACTACACAAATAGGAAAAAAAGTTCTTTTAAATAATGCTTCATTTGAAAAAATGGGTAGTAAGACTGCTTTTCATCTAAATTGTGGGATTCCATTTGTGAAACAGATATAAAGCTTAACTTCTTTATTATATTATTTAACAAACAAACCCAAACAAAAATGATGCCTGCAAAGTGACAAACTGGACCAGAAGTCTTCTATCCCTATTATGGCATCCTTCTCAAATAACAAAGCTTCAGTCTTTATAATGCTACTTTCAAATAAAAGACTTTAATATCAAAACAGTAAAAGAACAATTGAACTTTAGACCTCTCTTGGAGAAGATCTGATGTTAATTTAAAGTTCACATTCTTGGCAACCACAGTTGATTAAGAACGTAAAAATTACCAATCTAGCCCACTCTGTGTCATAATGGAAAATATATCGGACTCCCAGTCAAGTTTGCTATAACCATTCAAATATTACATTTTATGGGTCTAATATGGTTGTTATACAAAAATTAATCATGAAAAGGAAGTTACAGTTTTTTAAATACAAAAATTGAGAAGTAGTTTAGGAAAGTCATAGAGAGTAACTTTTGATTTTAGTTTGTAAGATTGGAGGAAGCATTTTAATGCCGTGGTAAATTTAAAATATTCTGAAAGAATAGTATTGTGGACCCCCCTCATTCAATCCAGATGCAGCTTCAATAGAGTATAGAAGTCATGCGAAACTGAAATGTGTGGAGTCGGAAGCAGAACAAGGCTCTGAAATGAGAATAATCTTAGCAAGACTGGCCATTAGAGGGTGCTGGATAGAGGGCAGGATAGCTAATACAGTGCCTTAAAACCACGTGGAGAGCTTTGTTTTCATCCTGTAGATTTTGAGGGATCCTTTTTTTTTTTTAAGGATAAATGGAATGGCAGGAAACAGCCAAAGTGGAGCTAGTGAGACTAAGTGGGAGGCCACCATAATGTTAATAGGTGGGAGCAAACTTGACTTGGGTTGGCGATGATCTCATGGGAAAGTGAATTCTGTACACGGACATGACAGGATTTTCAGGTGGAAAGGGTGTGAGGAATCAGGGCAGTGCTGCCTATAGATAGAATTCTGTCACCTGATAGTGCCAGGGCTTTTCGGGAGCACTTGTCTTCTTTTGGCTTGTCATTCCTGCCCATTCCTCAGAGTAAGATTGCTTTCTGCACTTTTAAAAATGAGACACCTAAGCTTGAAACTGTAACACAACTGAGCACAGATCCTGTTTAACTTTCTTCCTCTCTTGGCAGACATATGTGCCTGCTTCTCTTCCCCTTTTTTGCATGGGGCCATTAAAAGGAACTCGTTGGCAGGGCTGAATATCCTGTTGTTGAGAGTTATATTTAACAAGAAAAATGGCAGAAGAAACTGCACAATCAGTTTTTTCCATTCCCTAAAAGAATTGTTTTGAAAAATCACATCCTGTCTATTGTCACTTGTGCCTTTTTAATTTCAACTTCCAGTATTTTTGTATATGGTTGGCTTTCAGAGTCTTTTTTCTGACCTACTAGTAATACATACATCATCATAGTATCATATTCTCTTTGTTGGTTTATGGCCCACCCCTTCCTGCAGTCTTTAGTAGTTATTGTGAAAATACATATGCTTAAAATTTTAAAAATTATTATAGAAAACTGTGAAATGAAAACTAAAAGTACCTCGTTTCTTTGCAATATATGTTTCCCAGAGGTCTGTATTTGGAAAAATATTATCATACTATAAGTTGAGACCTGGTAAGAAATGGATGAACTGCAAGTGCCTGAGTGAGCTAAAGACAAAGGCCTTTAAATAGAGATAAGATTCAGGAAATTGGAGCACAGTGGACAGAGGCTAAATGGGAACACAAATAACAACTAATAAAATCAGCTGATGACAGAAAAACTAACCGTGGTAGCAACTACATATCCTAGTTTGCATGTACCCATCAAGTTCAAAAACAGTACCTGCTGACACCTGCCAGTGACAACTGTCCCTTTCACATGCCAGAAGTTACAAATAAGCCCCTAGGCTTAGGTGCTTCCTCAGCACCTTCCCTGGGATCCCCTCTTGACCAGTAAGAATTTTTTTTTCTAACCAACCATGCCGGGTTCATTCTCCACTGCCACCCTGTCAGCTTCATTCTCCTCTGTCTTCAGAACTAGAGCCCAGAGGGAGAAAATTGGTAACAAAATGTTGTATAACATTTTGTATAAAATATAAATAAAATATTCCATGAACAGCTCCATGTCAGTATATAACTATTTATATTGTTAAAAAGTCACTGAGCAGAATTCAGTAGGATATGATCCCTTTTTTGTCAACACACACAGACCTACACACACCTACATATGCACATTTGTGAAGTGTATAAAGAGGAGCACCACATTTCTAAACGTCACTTCTGGAGTCTAATCTTGGGGTGTGGATCTTTTTTTCAAAATCATATGCTCTTTTGATCTTTGTATTTGGGGCAATGAATAATAAATATTAACTATGTAATTAGAAAAGATTAAAAGGAGCCCTTATGCTAGTATAGAGATTTATAGTCAAGAAAGCACTTTTGCATATTTGACTTCATTTTCATGAGTTTGTATGCTGCCCTTGAAACATACCACTCCAAGTTTAGGAGTCAGAAATCCAAAGGTAGAGAGGTTACATTACTAGACTGAGATCACATGGTGCACTAAGACAAAACTAAAGCTAGCATATTGTTCCTCTCTAACGTGTTTTTTTTTTTTTTAAACAAATACATACATTTACAAAATAACACAAGAACAATACAAGCAATACTGAAATTCAGACAAGGTGATAGGAAATTAACAATCATTGTTGTATTATATATTGATTTCAAAGTGGTTACTCAAAACAAATATAGACACATAAGATTGGTCAAATAATTGATCATTAACTGTTCCTTTCAATAAAGTGATAAAAGTCAGTAGTACAACTGTGTTAGCTATCTTGTATATACATATAAACATAATTTTCCCCTTCTTTCTTTTCTCTTTTCCCTTATCCCAGTTGTTCTTTACTTTTGAGCATTTTCCTTTCATTTCACAATGTCTATCATCTCCTAATTTTATTCACTTTTTCAGGTTCTTACACTAGTGAGACAATACGTTGTTTACACATGCAGGTCTAATTTACTTCACTTATGAATGGTCTCCAGTTGTGACCACTTACCTATAAAAGCCTTGAGTTTATCTTTCTTTATTGCTGAGTAATATTCCATTATATACAAATATCACAACTTTTTTTTCCATTCCTCAGTGGACGGACATTTGGATTGCTTCCATGATTTATTCCACAAATTGCTCTGCTATAAACATGGGTACACATATATCACCATGGTATGATGTTTTCAGTTCTTCTGGAAAAATACCCAGCAGGGGAATAGCTGGGTTGAATAGGACCACCAGCCTTAGTTTGCTGAGGAAACTCCAAATTGATTTCCACAATGGTTTCACCAGTCTGCATTCCCACCAGCAGTGGAAAAGAGTTCCTATTTCTCCACAGCTTCACCAGCATTTGTTATTGGTTGATTTCTTAAGGCTAGCCATTTTTACTGGGGTGAGATGAAATCTCTGTGTTGTTTTAATTTGCATTTCTTGAATGACTAATGATGTTGAGCATTTTCTCTTGTATTTATTTGCCATTTGTATTTCTTTGTCTGAGAAGTGTATATTCATCTCAGCTGCCCATTTCTGGACTGGGTCTTTGAATTTTGGAGGACTGATGTTTTTTAATTCTTTATATGTTCCAGATAGAAGCCCTTTGTCTGAGGGACAGTCAGCTAAAATTTTTTCCCAATTTGTGGGTTTTCTTTTTACTCTGCTAGTGATTTCTTTAGATGTGCAAAAACTTTTCAGTAAGATGATATCCCAGTTATTGATTCTTTGAAGTATTTCCCTTGCAGTTTGGTTTTTGTTCATGAACTCTGCCTACCCCTATGTCATCAAGATTTTTACCTAGTTTCTTTTCCAATAGATTTAGTGTTTCTGTTTTAATATTGAGATCTGTGATCTATTTTGACTTGAGTTTGGTACATGGTGATAGCCTTAGATCTATTTTCAGTCTTCAGCAAGTGCCAGCACCATTTATTGAAGGGACTATCTTTATTCCATTTAACTTGTTTGGCCCCTTTGTCAGAAATTACATGGCTGAGAATATTTGTGGTTGTGGCTGTTCCTGTATACATCATATTGTTGGATTTTGTTTCTTAATCCACTCTGCCAGTGTGTTTCTTTTGACTGGTGAATTAAGGCCATTTACATTTATGGTTATACTGATATGTGTTGGGTTATCTTTGTCATGTTATTTACTTACTGTTGGTTTCCTACTTTTTCTCTCTCTTTAAATGCTTACTCTGCTTGAGGGTTCCTTTCTATGGTTGTTCTTGAAATTGTGGTAATTTTTTCCTCTGTCTAGAATATCTTTTAGTACTCTTTATAAGGTTGGTTTGGCATTCATGAAGTTCTTCAGTTGTTCTTTGTTGTCGAAATATTTTATTTCTCCATTAAATTTGAAGGATAGTTTTGCAGGCTACATCGGTCTGGGTTGCAAGTTGTTTTCTTTCAAGACCTGAAGTACTTCATTCCATGCTCTTCTTGACTTGATGGTTTGTGTTGAGAAATCTGCTGTGATTCTGATGGGCTTTCCTTATAAGTGATCTGTTTCTTTTCTCTAGCAGCTTTTAATATCCTTTTTTTTTTTTTTTTTTTTTTTCCTGTGTATGTGGGATCTTGATTATTATGTCTGGGTATAGTTTTTTTTGGTTATGACTAGTTGGAGTTCTCTAAGCCCTACTTACCTGTATGTCAGAATCTTTTTCCATGTTTGGGAAATTTTCTGCTATTATTTCTGCAAAAATTCTCTTTATGTCATTTGTTTTGCCTCCTGTTGTTTGTTGACTCCTATTAGTCCTACATTATTTCTCTTTGTCTTGTCTTGCACCTGTTGAATTTATTTTTCCTGGTTCCTTGTTAATTTTAAGAGATCCTTCCTTTCATAATTGTTAGCTGCCCTGCTGTCTTCAAGAACTGAAATCCTATCTTTGGCTTCATTCAAGCAGTTTTGCCAACTTTCAGTGGAAGTTTTGATTTCCTGGATATCTCTTTGAATCTGTTTCATTCATTCTAGTGCACTCCTCTATTTTTCATTTAACGTTTCCATCAGTTTCTTATGCTCATCTATGTTTTTATATATGTCTTCTTTAGATGTGCTGAGCAATTCTTTCATTATTGTTGCCATTTCATTTTTTTACCTGAGGTATTATTTCTGATCTGATGTCTTCTATGGCCTGATGGAGTTTTTTCTTTTTTTTACTTCCATTGCAATCATTTCAGCCATTTCAGGTGTGTGTTTACGAAGTTCTCCTATGTTGATGTCTCCTGGACTTGTTCTGGATAGGGTGGAGTTCTGAGATTGCATTTTAATCCTTCCTTTTGTCATGTTTGATACGAGAGGCAGAGAGCCTAGTCCCCCTCTTCCCTGGCAGTTCAGCAAAGGTTGCAAGCATCCCTAGTTATCCAGGTGGTCAGACTTGCACTTTAGTGTTCACCGAGATGGGCTGCTCACTCTGGCGTCTTCCAGTGCTTGGTGGAGTATACCTAGTTCTCCCAGGTCCCAGATGCAAACCACAATGCCTGCGGATAGCAGATCACCTGCTCAGTGTCCCCAGGCAGTTCAGGGCATGCATATGGGCATGCATATGACCCAGAAGCAGGCTGCACTGTTGGCGTGATCATGGACCACTTGGTCCTGTGTCCCCAGACAGTTCAGGGCACAGGAAGAGCCTAGACATGAACTTCAGGATCAGCAGTTCATGGACCACCTAATTCAGTGGCTCCAGGCAGCTCAGGGTGCACACAGGAGCCAGATGTAGGCTGCACTGGTGGTGATTGCAGACCACCTGTTTCTGTGACCTCTGGGAGATAGGGGGGCACAAAATGCCCAGAGGCAAAACTGTGGTGTCAGCAGTTTGTGGACCTCCTAATCTAATACCTCAGGCAGCTCAGGGCATGTGCAGGGAGGGCCCAAACATGAACCCTGGTGTTAGCAGTTCCTGGGCCTTCTGAACCAGTGTCTTATCTCCTGGCTGTGCTGGGTGCATGGAAGGTGGAGACAGAATATATGTGGTTAAATATGGCCACATAACTGTTTTTATTATTGGGTGAAAATTTTTCCTTCTTAGGCTGTGTGCCTTTGTGAGCAAGGAGAAGTGATACAGATGTTCTCACTAACTCCAAGCATATCACATTTCATTTTGAAACTTGGCAGCTGTGATAGCTAAGATCATTGTGAATAAGCACACTGTGACCAAAGACACAGGCAGAGTTGCTTTGTGGTGGGAAAGTAGTCAGTGTTACTTGGCACAGCATACCAATCCTCAGGACCTACACTCAAACAAGTTGTAGAGTGGGCTAGTTTGAGAAGAACGTCTACACTCTGTGTGCATTTATTTGCTGGTTTACCAAATAATTCTTCAGAATCACTCTTGGCTTTATGCTGTCCTGAAATTTTACCCTTAAAAGAGATTCAGACATAGTATTAGG